AAATTCAAAACAAAAATCATTATTATGCTAAAATTAAACACTGTACTTCTGATACAAAAAAGTAAACTATGTTAACTATGTATACTTATATAGGTCTGTTACGATTAATAGACCGCCTATTTCCGTTCGCTTCCTCGCTTAAGTTATTTACTTACTACAATTAATAATCGGTAGTAAAATTAAACAATAAATTGCCGATGTAACAAGAAGCAGTGTTAGTTTTAATTCTGCAAAATGTTAACAACACTATCAACGCGTTGATGTCTTTTACTTGGAGGAACCGAAATAATATTTTGGTAAATGAAAAATGTGAACATTGTTTCAAAACTGTTATAAATACCTTTTCAACTGTGAAATTATTGTCATTTTAAAAAATTAAGACAGTTCTAGGTAAATCTAGGTTTTGTCGTAAACAGCAAAATACGGCCTAAGTAAATAATATTCAACGATATATTAATTCATAAATAGTTGTCGAACATGTCTAAATTAACTCCAAGTTAATGCAACAGTTTATAATATTATGTATCAACAATATAATCTATGCGAGTATCCTTCGGTATGCCTACAGCTCAACTAAAGCCAGCCCTACACTTTTGGCCCTAGAAATTTTATCTTTATTCTCACAAGGTTAAGGTTGGTTTTGCAATATACGAGTTACATGTTTGTACGAATTTGCACTGCAAGAATATAGGTGAACGTGAAATGAACTTTATTTTGACAAGTTTAAGGTTTGTTTTACATTATACTAAATGTATATTTGTATGAATACGCACTGCAACCTTGGTGCACGCGTTGCGGCGTAGCGTCAGTAAATAAACGAACGTTTGTTTGTAGCGTCAGCAAATAAATTAGTGATTACTTTGTGAGTTTGTTTATATTAATGGATTATTTTGTTAGTAATTTGTTTCTTAAGATGCTAATATTTGGTAATAAATTAATATTGTTTGGTCAAACTTACATAATCATATTAAATTGTAGGACATTTGTCAATCGGTGCACCCCCAATTACATGGGACTCAAATACATCTAGACATCTAATGAAAAGATAGTGTTGCACTGTGTACGCCTCTGTCTACCTCTTTGGTATTAAAATGTGTACCATTATGTACATACTAGTATTTCTATCAAATAATAATTTAACATTAACATCTAAGAATGTAACATTAAATACGTTACGTTGGTTGGTGCGGTGGCTGGGCAACCGGCTGCCGTGCAACGTGCAGGTTCAATTCCTGCATGGAACAACACTTTGTGTGATCCACAAATTGTTGTTTCGGGTCTTGGTGTCATGTGTAAAACGTTGTAAACGCACTCATGACGCAGGAGATAAGTACGGGGCAACGTATTTATAAAAAAAAATAACATAGCAGGTTAATGTAAACTAAACGAGAAATGTTACACAAACTGTTATAAACAAGAAAATAAAACATTCAATTATTGTTGAGATGTTGACGAATATTAATGTCGACATTTGAACTACACGCACATAATATTTTAACCTAAATTAATCGACGCTTTTTATGCTATTTAGGGTCCCGTCGTAAAATAAAAGCTATTGTTACATTGAGTAGATGCAAGTCTTAATATGGATAGAATCCTTACTATATATATATATATATATATTATATATTGTATATATATATAATATTATAAATCAGAAAGTGAGTTTGTTTGTTCCGACTTCACGCCGTAACTACTTAACCGATTGCATTGAATTTTTGCAGACGTAAAGTTAGTAGTCTGGATTAAATAATAGGGTACTTTTTATCCCGAAAAAATTGATATTCCCGAGGGAAAACAAAAGTATTGGTATAGATGGCGCTGTATGTATTGGTATATGTCACATAGGCTACTTTTTATACTTTTGTGACGCGAGCGAAGCCGCGGGTAAAAGCTAGTGAGAAATATTTACAAATTCTAACAACTACTGTTTACTGTCTCATTCGTTAAGTGGTCACAAGTACGATCACTGAGCTAGAGGTTTCAGTTTCGATTCCAGACCCGGCAAGGTATTATTGAGTTATTCCGAAAATTCTCATTAATAAGCATGAAGCTAAATTATGAGTTGCCGTTAGATACAATATACATATGTATTTCAGCGGCTTACTCTATTTCAGCGACATTAAACAAATAACAGCCGCATCAATTTTTAAAAAGCTGTTTTATATCGAAAATTAAAAAGGTAATCTACGGAACGCCATCACAAAAAAGTTCGGGCCTGTCCGCCATATTTAAATAAAACCGTGTACTAATGAAAGCTCACGCAGTTTACATAACAAAAGCTTTCTATCACAACCTTGCAAGCTTTACTTCGTGAGTCATTAAGCTCAACACCACAGTTTCGCAACACCCTGTAGATACATGCCCTTACTTACAAACAATTGAATTTCGACCTTGTATCCAAGCCATTACATCTCAATATCCATTGTTCTAATTCTTTCAATCTGAAGTAATGGAATTTGATTCTTATTTTGTATTTGTTATGGTTATTTTTTCTGTGTATAGTCTTGTTCAATTGCATTTGTTATATGTTATAGGGAGTTGCAACTTTATTTTTTTTTAGTTACGGTTGATTTTTCTTTAGCTGAGTTTTCGAAGTGAATGTGAACATGAGGAAAAATGGTTCAGATTTTCGTATTGCACTACAAATGTAATAATTATTTGTGGTTAGTGTTAATAATAATAATATTATTAATAATTGTTTGTTCGTGGGACCTTGGTTAATGCTTCCTTGGTGAGCTAGAAAGTAAGGGGTTTATAATATAAAGTAATTTGCCTTTTATAATATGTCTTAGTAATGGAAGAGTTGGGTCGGTCGCCTTAATTGTAAAGTTGATCGCTCCTCTTAAGTTTGTTAGGACTAGTGCACACTGCGGTAGAAGCAAGTTTTATAATTTCTGTTTTTTTTTTTAATTTGAAGCATATTTATCCATAGAATCTTGGACAAGTATAAATTAAATGATTTGTTAAAAAGTATACTAGGTATGTTTGATTGAAGTGTTCTTAAAACAGATGGACGGCTTCAACTGCAGTTTAACTCATTAAATAAACCATTAACGTTGCTCTACATTTCAAATTCATGTTGATTAATTTTCAACTCTCTATCTTAAACCATAAAATTCAAATTTCAACAACACAAACAGTAGGTCATACATCCTAAATATCTAGTCTACCTTCAATACTCATTACCACATACCAACAAATCGGAAGTGTACGAAAGCATTCATGTGTGGGTTTGACATCTTCGTCACTTTTCGGCTGTCTTCGGCTATCTTCGGCTATCTTCGGCATTTTTCGACCAGCTAACCTCGACTTACTGATCCAGTTATGACATAACCGATTAGTTTTAGTTGACACACTGCCTTAAGTCGTGACGTAATCAAATCGAGAGCACAATTGTGTAATAATTGTTTTAAATTATTTATAATTAATGCTAAGAAATGTAAGTACTCATAGATCGAGTATTTTGGAGTAGGGGATTGGGTTAATTGTTGGTAATTAGATTTTTAAACGAGGTGTGAATTAATTTTAATGTTAAGCATACTACATAGTACGCATTTGACAGAGAGTGGATAGCAACATTCTCTAATGGTCCTGTGAAAATGCTATCACCAACCACACTACTACACACAGTAGGCACTACTTTCAGACACTATTTCTCTGTAATTTTTTTCATACAAATGTTGAAGTTTGTGTTTATATTGTAGACTAGCTACTTCCACGCGGTTTCACACGCTCTGCTTAACTCCTATTGGTCGTAGTGTGATGTTCTATAGCTTATATCCTCGATAAATGCGCTATCCACCACAAAAATAATTATTCAAATCAGACTTGTAGTTACGGAGATTAGCGCGTTCAAACAAACAAACTCTTCCGCTTTATATATATAAGATATGCCTTAAATTGATAAAAAAGTAATAAGCCTATAATAGACAATCACGGGTTTTGAATACAATAATATGAAGATCTATTTTCATACCATTACTCAGAACCAAAAAATAAAACACACACAGAATTAATTAAACAAACATTTGCATAGCATTTTAATCTCTTATTCCTCCTCAATCGTATCTCCATATTGGACTCGCCCAAATATGGCATCCACCGCCAACTTGCATTTATAAATCTGGCAATATTATTGAGAAAGGACTTCGCTTAGTACTATTGACCTCTGCCAAGGTTTTCGAGTTTTGCACCGGTGACATTCAGACGTACACCGATACGGATGTGTTGTTACAGTTATTGTTTGCAGGTGTAGTTGTGTTTACTGTGTACCCGTGCTCAGTTAGTGGGTGGTGTGAGTATGTTAGCATTTCGTATTTATAAGTACTGCTGTCAGTTGTAACCCATATGTTACAACTGACAGCAGATATCAGTATCACTATTTTATGTTATGAGTATGGGCCTATTACCATATACCGGGCGCAATTCTAGACTCACTGAGATTTTTTTAAACCCAGTAATACTTTGCCCGAGCTGGGAATCGAACCCTTGACCCCTTCACCCCGTCCACCGCACAGTGACCACTCGGCCAACGAGGCAGGCATAAATTGTTGGCTTAAAATGTTTCAACGGGTCATTGAGGGATTTTTGTTGCACGGAAAGTTTATAATTATCTTTGATTGGATTTGTCTGATATCATGTTTAGTGTCAGAGTGAAATAAAATATGTTGTTTTATCCTAAGATGTAATTATATTATGATCCTTTTGTTAATGGGAGTCAACCTCTCGATGAAAGATGGATTTGAGTGCATTACAATTACGAAGGCCGTACAGATTTGTTTCATTTTTTTCCATTGCACTTTTCATTTAGTTTCATTTTGACAACAACTTTGTTTTGTTTGTTCAAAATTCTAATTAAAGTAATAAGCATAACAAATTGTAATTCAAGTCTGAAAGGTCCAACGAACTTTATTTTTATTTATAATAATTTATGAAAATTTACCGGACTCGTATAACCTGATGAAGCAAAAATAATAAACATCCATTTTCTATTTTCTACAGATTCATGAACACATGACCCCAGATGAGCTACGGAGCGTCTTCCACGTGGAACATCACACGATGGTGCCAGAGTACCACCTCGTCCAGCTCACACATCACCTCTCCAGGCGGCACGTCTCATCAGGACATCAAGCCAACACCATAGCCCAGGGCAAGAGCAAAATACCCCACGAGAAGACTAACACATGGAAAACGGAGACCAGCCCACCTTCTTTGCTGAACGACGAGATGTTTGTTAAAGCAAAAAAGAATATTAAAGATGTAGATATAATTGGAGACTTGAATAATACAGTGAGTGTCGATTTTAAGGTGTCAAATTCAAGTGAAATTAGTGACAGTGATGTGTTAAGTGATCTTGAGAGGATGGTCGAAGGTCAGGAGTTGGATGTGCATAAGATTGACCTTGAGGCCTTCGGACGACAACTCAAGCTGGTGCTGAAGAAACAGGAGGGGTTGTTGAAGAAGGAAGGTTTGAGGATGTGGAGGGCTCACCAGAATGAGTCGCAGCCACATGGTGTGGATTATGAAGAGTTGGAATCGGTGAGTAGCTTTGATTTAAGAATTTGTTGGTTTTAGGTTCTTGAGATTTACTGATCAGAAATTCGATGCTTTAATACAAGACTTTTCCATATTTAGGGATTTAGAAACACGTAGTATGCTTTAATATTATTTAAAAATATTTTTCTAGGAAATTGATAATACTCAGGCAAATTATGAGTTAAGTAAGCAAGAACAAGATGGTTTCCTCTAATGATGTCGTAGATAAGGAAACATCTAAAACTCATTAGTAGATATATGACGACACTGCATTCAAAGATAGAAACAAAATGATTTTTTAACTAAACAGCAACAGTTTTCCTTCGACCATTATAGGAAGTTGTGCATATCACTTTTATAATTAAAACGAATGAAGTATAATCGATATGAATAATCGATTCACATTCCCATACGATAACAATCGTTCACCCATATACGGTTATTACTAAGTGAAAAGCGAAAATCGAATCGATATCGTTCGGAAATAATCGAGTAAACAATGCGGAGAAGTGACAACATTAATTATAAGGTTTGCGTCTAATAAGAGGTCGGATTAATTAGGGTTGCCAAGCTGAAGAAGGAAAATAGTATTTATTTTTGCTTGCTTTTTGCCCACGGTTTCTGTTATGTGTAAATATTTTATAATCTTCTATATAAATTCTAACTGGTAGTTCCTGAAATTAGTTCATTTATATAAACAAAAATTGTAGTTTTTCTAGTACTATATACTATTTGTACTGCAGAAGAAAGATTCAGTATATCAGTATCAATAAATTGATTTCGTTTCTATTTAATATATTTGAGGTGCCGATGTTTGATCACTATCTCGCCTGGTGGTAAGCAATGATGCGGTCTACGACAGAGCACATCGACCCTGTAACAATGCCAATGTAAATATAACACATGAGATAAGTTTAGTTTTTTATTAAAAGCTTAGAACAAAACTCATTAAAATTACGCATTACAAAAATAAATTTACCGAAGTTTACTCTGAGAATTTGTCAATATTTCAAAAACTTACATAATAAAAAAAACAAGTAAAATACAAGTTAATTGCAAGCAGCACCAACCCTACATGATCCAATTGTTCTATTGCGGATGACACAAAAACGCGGGCACCTGTTACTGTTTGTCTCAAGCAGAGAAAGCTGCCTTCCCACGGAGCTCTTATCTAACCGTGAAGTTGCATCTCATGTAAAGAAACGTAGCCTAAGGAATGAAAAACGAGTAAAAATACTTACTACTAATTATATATTCAGTTAAAAAATATCATACATCGGTCGACCTCAATGTCTTCTCGTATATCCCCAAGCGGTCACCGGACCGCTCTCCACTAACTATATTATAGACCTTATTTCCGAAGTTTAGAGACTACTTTTGTATGAACAAATTTAGGGGATGATTTTCAACAGGTTTATTATGTAGGCATGTTCGTAAATCGATAAAATTTATTGGCATAGTTTGCAGTACGGACTAATAACCGACGTGATACAATGCTTGCGTTGTGCTTCGTCATGTGAGTAATGTTACCGGAGGCCCCACAATCTTCCCAATCCCTGAATCCCCAACAATCCTCAAATACCTAATCTCCAAAAGGCCGGTAAAGCACTTGTATCGCCTCTGGTGTTTCGATTGTCCATTGGCGACGCCGATTGCTTACCATCAGGTGATCCGTCTACTCGTTTACCAGCTTATTCCATAAAAAAAATTGAAGCAAATTGGTACCTGAAAATAAACAGAACCTTACTGTGGTCAGTCTTTTATTACAATTTGTAATAACAATCCACAAGATAAGTGACAATCAAACCGGCTGACTTATAATTAAAACATAAACGTGCCGATTACATAACTTACTGATACTTATAGAATTAAATTGTCTTGTTTGTCTATTTGTCTAGACAATCCCTCTATCAATTTCATCTAAGTCGGTCTCGTAGTGTTGACACATACAAAAAAATATTATAGGTATATTTTTACAATTAATTGGTATCACATAATATAACATAACGTCCCGCTTTTTATCCCCGAAAGGGTAGGCAAAGGTGCACATTACGGCTCTTAATGCAACTGCAATGTAACACCCACTTTTCACTATTTATGTTATGAGTCCCATGTAATAGGGGGTGAGCCTATTGTCATATACCGGGCACAATTCCAGACTCCGTGCTACTTACTACTAAGATTTTTTTCTAAAACCCAGTAATACTTTGCCCGACCCGTCAGTTTAATGAGTATCAATTTGTAAGTTTTTATTTGATAGAGTATAAGTATTACGACAAACTTTCGTATCAATCATAAGAGATAAGATTTGAAACGACTAAAAAGATTTTAGAACTATTTTCGCGTGTATCAAATCGAATGGAATTTCTGTTGAGTTACTACCGCTGTATAAAAAAACCAACATCGCAATTCTTAAGTACAAAATTACTTGTAAGTAACATGTTGCCGAAATTAATAAGTTAATTATAACTAATACGGATATACTTCCTCGCCGGTCGCCGGTGACACAAACTTCCGTACGCCACGATAACGCGTCGGGAAAAAAGACAAAAAATAATTAGTTCTTAAACGATTCTAATGGTAATGTGCACGGTACTAATCGTTGTTTATTACTTACAATTTATAGTTTTTTGGTAATGTGTGATTAATTACGTCAACAGAATAGAATATACATATAGATTAGCACCCTGACTCTTTTTCTTCTTCGTTTTAAAACGAGAATTAAGGTTCGTAATTTTAGTTTAAAAAAAATTAAAATGTATATATATATACTCATTCCAATAAATTGTTTAAATAAAATTAAATCTGAAAATGCAAACAAACTCAATTTAACTGTTTTGTATTCTATAACACGACTTTATGTGCGAATTAGAACAGTTTTGTTATTATAATAGGTATGTACATACAATAATTCAATTAAATATATTTTAGACTAACTGTAATTTAATACAGAGTTCAATATTTGCAACAATTTGTTTATTTTAGGTCAATAATATTTTGACAAATGAAATGAATACTTATAATGGTTTAAAATAGATTATTAATTCATAATTTTTTAATTGATAAATACAACTTTAAAGTACATAACATAGCAAAAAATAAGTAGGTATGCACGTCAAAAAATAAATTATATACTGCAAAAAAAATGTTTAAATGAATACAGGTTAAATAAATTTTATTCATATTAAACAAGTCAGACACATTTATAGTGCAGTCCCTAAAAGCAATAATAAATAATCTAGTATCATAGCTCGTAATTTGCATAAAACCTAGATATTGACGTTTTTGATGCCTAGGTCTAGTTCTAGTTAATAGACATGATTTAAATAAATACATTATTTATGTTACAGAAGCCGAAATAGGTGTTAAAACTAGTCTTATTTACGTATAGTTTATGTTATGTATGGGGTGTTAAAAGGAATATTTCATTGTTATGGATAGTTTTAATTGTAACCTTTTTTTAAGGAAGGAAATTCATCCAATAGCTTCTCCCGCCTTGGGTTAGGCGAAAGGTAGTGTCAGACTCTTACTGACTAAAAATCACCCTGTTCCTACTCCTGCTCTATAAGCCGGAGCCCTGGCAACCCATCAGCCCTTCCACGGCTCCGTAAAAAGATCTGTGCCAATGCTGGTATCGACCCTGCAACCCATCATTGTGTATATCTCATGCGATAACCATTGCGCCAAGCAATGAGCTTACAAGCAACTTTGTAACCACATTGTAACCCTAATTTTGAATTAAATTTTGATGATTAAGTATTAATTATTAAGTCAACCTTTATATAGGAAGTGACCATTTATTTTCCGACTCAAAACAGTGTTATGTTGGTGGATTATCAAATTATAGTCGGATTTATTTTACTTGGATTTATTACAATAATGTGCACTGTGCAGGGCGCACGACGTGTACACACACCAGAGTATGACAGATAGACAGTAGCGTTAAATAACGCGTGTCCTACCTTATATAACACATTATAGTGAGCGGGCCACTACTTACTAATTAGTGTTGATACAGATTAAACATACATGTAACAAACAGGACCTTCGTTTATTTAGATTCAGTCAGGCGTCTAGTAGCATCCTACTACTTTTGACCCTGTAAATACTAACTTTGTCGCGGAGAACCTAACGGGTAACCGGGGCTCCGGCTCGACGTGCAGGCAGGAGAAGGAACGGGGTGGTTTTTAGTCAGTAAGAGTCTGACACTCCCTTCCGCCTCACCCAGGCGGGAGCAGTCATTCGATGATTTTCCCCCCTTAAAAAAAAAAAAAATACTTAGGTACTTTGTGCCCACAGCAAAAAGGTTAACTTTACCAACTGCACAAAAATGGAGGTAGGTAACGTTTTTTCGTCCGTACTTCCCTAAAAAATAACGATTTCATAAATAACAATAATATTTTTACCCTGCCTTGTATCGAATCTAGACCAAATCCTTTGAGGTTACATTTTCGATCCATCAATTAAAAAGTCGAACCAAACAATATATTTTAATTAAACATCTACTATGTCTCTATGTAATCTAATTGTTAAAATAATATAACCAAATCAAGCACGCTGTATATCTTATTTACCTTGATCGTAAAAGCACTAGATCTATTCAAATACCTAGATCGAGGTTAGGTTTCGTGTTCGCAATCTAGGTTCCATGTTTTCAAGTTTTGTTTAGATACAAATGTAATATCTGTTGTACATCATTAAAACGCAGGGTTATTTTATTTTGTTGGTTTTTGTAAACATTAAAAAATATATACTTTTACAACTAATGCATTCCACGCACAAATACACATAACATCACGCCTTTTATCCCCAAAGGGGTAGGCAGAGGTGCACATTATGCCACTGTACAATGTAACACCCACTTTTCACTATGTTACGAGTCCTATGTAATAGGGGGTGAGCCTATTGCCATATACCGGGCACAATTTCAGGCTCCGTGTTGTTACAGTAGTAACAATTCTTAGTAGAGAATTGTTTAAAAACCCAGTAATACTTTGCCCAAC